CACACACACACACACACACACACACACCAGGGCCAGTTTCTCCCAGAAGCCAATTAACACATCAGCACATCTTTGGACTGTGGGAGGAAATCAGAGCACCTGGAGGAAACCCATGCGAACACAAGGAGAGCCTTCAAACTCCTCACAGACAGCCCCCTAGCTCCAGAATTGAACCCAGGGCCCCAGTGCCATGAGGCACTTCTTCCCACTGCGACTACCCACCTCATGAAACCCGATTTCCGTAACTTTGATGATCAGCCAATTCACTCAATCCACTCCTGACCATCAAGAATGCACAGACGGTCTTCCTGAATTGTTACAGTTCATTAAAAGCACCTGCCTGCTATAACAGGCTGCCAATATTTCACATGTTTACCAAGTACAGCTGCACATCAGCAATCTTCTGTGTAGCATCCCATACTTTACCCTTACAGCTGTGCACTGCAGACTGTTATAAGTCTGGTAATTATGTATCTATTTCAGCTGGGTATTTCATTGGAACAATTAGAGAGAAGCACTGTTCTCAGAGATACCACAGGATTTGAACCCATAACCTTACAATTCCAAGGCCAGAGCTCTAACCACTCCTCCATGCTGCTGCAATAGACAGCAAAATTAATTAAACCAGCAACACCAGTAGGGAACTAATACATTTATTAATTTCTTACATCCTTAGCATCAATAAATACATGGATAAAACAATCAGACAAGTGCTTAAATTAAGTTCAATGGTTCTATAAAAACACAAATGTACATTTGACATCGGACAGGAACTTAAGGAGGGTCTCGCCAAAGAATCCGAATAATTCTAACATGCTTTGTTGAAAGAGAAGGTCGACTATTCACATCCTTAATGGAATCAATTATTCCAGAGTTCAGGTGCTGCCTGCTCTTATATCCAATGTCCCTGATGAACACAGACCTTACACGCATAAATACAGACACAAACAAACAAAAATCCTTCATTGCCCAAAAAAATACAAATACTGAAACTTGGTGTTAGCATATGGGTTCGGAAAGTTAAATCTGTAAACTTCCTCTGTTCAGTCCAAGCAGGAGGAAGTACATTTGACTCAACAGTATCAGGAACTACGTGCGTCTAAAAGTGCAGTGTCTCTTAACGCAGTGCTAGGCTTTTAGTTCTGAGCACCTGCTAGTTCCGGACCCACTCTTTGGGGGTCTACTTCAGTGTAGCGTTTGTAGGAGAATCTTACAATCTTGCCCATGTGCCAGCTCAAAGTTTGTCCTCCGAAACTCTTCCTCCTCCGAAAAGCAGTGACAGCAAAGGTCTTGATCACCTTTTCACGACTACTCGCACTACAAAAACAGTCCACAGTCTGCTCGGAGCATTTTGATCTCATTTGCAAATTGTAAAGCACACTCCAAATCCACCTGCGGATCAGGGATGAATACCGCGAGGGGGTTTTTGCGTTTTGATCACAAAGAGAATCGAAAAAAATATTAATATTTGCCCCCTCCTGTGAAGAAAAAAAAACCTTGAGTGTTGTATTTAGAAGGGAATGACATCACCTGGCCGGGGAGGGTGACATCAGGGTATTGTAGAGCTGTGAAAAGAGCACGTGTTCCAGGATTTGCTTTTTGGCAAAGGCTGTAATACAATACCAGCGGGGAACAAAAAGTGGGTCATTGTGACACAGGCAGGAATCCACACTGAAACTCCAACAGGCTGCGATGTCATCACCGTCTCCAATTGCAAGCAAAAACCCTGCTGGAGGCAGTAATTGTAACCCACACTTCGCTAAATTTAGAAAGAACAGGGTGTTTGTCCCGAGGGAACAGCATGCATCTAAACTGACGCTTATTCCAATCAGGCAAGCTTGGTTCCTTACAAAGGTGCCTGACTGCAGGGCCTGCCTTGCTGTTCATTAGCTTACCACCTCATGGTTTAACCACTGGTTTGTGTCTCTTAAAGATGGCGCTAAGTGCTTTCGGAGGACGTTTTATACATTCCAGAGCATGTGTTGTATAAATTCTCCACGCCTGCCATCGTTGTAAAGGAAAGTGGACTGCCATGCCTGTCTCTATGGTAACACTGCACTTTTTTGAGTCCTTTGGAATTTCCAGGTGTTCCGAGCCTCTGATGAGCTCTGATGTAACATACAGCCGGCATTTTGAACGTTTAGAGCTTATACCTTCTCCCTTTGCCCTTCCTGATGTCCTTTTGTTATCTGACACAAATCAGAGACACCTGTACCGACACTCCCTGCTCGTGCTCATTGAGATCTCCTGCTGCCCAGGCCTCTCTCACTTGGACACAGGGTTCGATCACGAAGAACACCCAAAGGACACTGTCCCCCAACTCCCAAGCTTTCTTCTGACCAGCTCCAATAAGAGTGAGGGAATGTCCTGTCCCATGGAGCATCAAATCTAGCAGGTTTCATAGACCATGGCTAAATCAGCACTTTCCAAACACCTAGAACAATTTCATTGCAATAAACTTAGCAGCTGGTTTCTTAAAAGGAGGAATTTAGAAATAATTTGGGAAACAAAAGGACTTCAGTCCCAGTCCCCATGGACCAGATTACTTAATTACTTGGTTGATTGACCTACACCTTGGTCTTTAGAAACAGCTGGCCAGGTTCTGAGAATAATAGTAAGCTTCTGAATGTGATCCAGAGCTACTAGGGTCGAGCTACAGGTGGTCTCAGACAGAGCCCAGGACTGCAGTGTTGTCGAAATCTTCTCTATCCACTGGGACAATTAACACTGAAATGCAACGAACAGGTATTTAAAAAGTCTGCTTTCCTTTACAGATGACGGCAGCCCATATGGGTATGGCCCCCCTCATTCCATCCTTTAATATGATGCATGTGATGGGAGCCACAGAGGAGAAAAGGGAAAACGTTTTTGCTCTTCCTCGGAACATAAGTCATTACAATCTAGCAGCTCCCATCTTCTTTAAAATTACCAGTATTTCCCAGGTAAAATTACACAAAGAACCTGATGGACAATAAACCTCAGTAACACTCAAGTTATAACTCCATCACCAGTGCTGCACCTCCGACAGTCTCTGTGCCCCAGAAAGCCAAGTGCATTTCAACACAATCCTTCTCCTTCTAGTGCTTCCCAGTAAGGGCTTTTAAGGGTCCATCAGAAACATGAGCATAATGTCAGGGCTCACCAAGACCGCACAGCAGCTGCGACTAAATTAAATACATATGTGCTACAGAGGGCAAGATGTTTTGTAGTTTTAAACTGAGGGTTTAAAAAAAAGCTCTTTTTGGACACTCCCGAGAAACTCTGCCTTTCCACAGGTCCTTCCAAGTGGGCCGTTTCTCTTCTGCGCCGCAGGACGTCCAGTTGCTTTTCCTCTGGGTCGGACACAAATGAGGGCAGCTGAAATGTACCGCAAGACACCTCTCTTGTGCATATCCTCAGTACCACATTGAAAGCACCAGCCTTTCATGCATTTGCCCACCCAGATGTTACAATGTATCCAGTTCGTAAAAGCAAGTGATCACTCCTCTACAAACTCCCCCCCACCCAGTGACCACAGATGTTGGAGAACAAGGATCATTTGAGGGCACAAATGCAGGGATTCAGGTCTCTTGTAAGCCCAGAGCCTTACACTCCACCCCCTCTGGAGGTGTCTGGCTGCTGCGCTGTACCCAGAGGCTCTTGCTTTGCAGAACTAAATGGTCACTCTTTGTGGACAATGCTGATACAAGTCAAATGAGCTCCTCAGCGTTCTGCTGTACTGTTAATCTCAATATTGCACAGGATCCTGTTGGAATCAATTTCCGTAGCTTTTTTGTTGAATAGGAGTGAAAATTCGAGCGCAATGTATTTCACTGCACCAAGACAGGTCATCTACATAAAGTGCTTCATAGCTTGAAGAAGTCTGTAACAGTTCTTTTCAGGTAGCTGAAGTTGCTCTACTGCTGATATCCTTGAGCCAACTTCGGCCCAGGGCCCTACTGATCAGTCAGATTGAACATAAATCATCTTCTTCTGTCATCAGTCATTACTTTCGACATGCAAAGGGCAGGAGCACCTCGATCTCTAGTTTATTACATTCCCTCTGCTGCGATCCCTCCCACTTCTGTTGTCGGTGCTCCCCTTCTCCAGCAGATGGCGCCGTGCCGAAAACCTGTTATCTGGCAGGCCGGCTCGGGGAACCCATGCTGGAGGGGGATGCTAGCAGCGCCGTGTTGCCCTGCCACTTCCGGCGCAGGATGAAGTCATAGTTGGCAGAGGTGCACATGGCGTAGAAGACATTGGCCTTGTCAGGGATGACCAGTTCTGCACGGGGACACGGGGGAAAGCAGAGCGACAAGTGAAAGGACTGACACTGCGGAGCAAACAAGCAAACGATAGCAGTCAAACAGAAGAGAGAGAACCCCTGACATACTCCTAGATCCCAACAGGATAAATCTGTTGCTACAATTTAATTTTCTTTTATTTCAGATCAGTAAAGGCTAGTCAAAATAAGAAACAGCTGATCTTGCCTCCAAGTGAGGTAAGTACAAAGATAAGCTCTACTAACAAGTAAAGGAGGTAGCAGGATCTCTACGGAAGTGGTCTAGAGGTGAGGTTTCTGACACTCGTGGTACCGACTCTACACTGCAGCTCACCTCTGTCCTGGGAGAGGACCTGGCTGAGCGAGAAGTCCTTGCAACTGCTACTCTCCAGGTTGTGCTTCTCCAGGGCTCGCTGTACCACCTGGGCCGTCTTCTCCTGGCTGGTCAGCTGCACGGGAGATGGAAACAGGGAGAAAGAAAATGAGCTGTTACTGAACACAGCCGGATACGCCCCTACGCCACAAATCAGAACACAGCCGGACACGCCCCCAGGACTACATGCCACACCCCCATTCTCACTCCTAGTGCCAGTAACAAAACAATAACCCCTACAAGACTGCTTTAGGTGGGGACCTCTTGAAGGAATTTCCACAAACGAAGAAGAATCGTCCACAGAAGCACTTTATTCAGGTTAAAACCTGAGTAGGCAAAATTCCAAAGCAAAACGTGAGGAGCCCAAACCACTCCATCCACCAGCCCATTTAACGATGGAATCTACTTAATCGCTCATCCTTCTGCTGCGCATTTCAGGAGTTGGATGTGTCCCAATCACCCACGGCAATGGCAATAAAACCAGACATTTCTGCAGCTGGAAGTCCGAGATTCAATGTACAGGAAAAACGGCCTGCTGTGACAGTAACGCCATACACAGACGAAACAAGGAGGACTGTACTTTCCCCTCTCAGGACCCCCCCCTTGCTGGATCTGGCCCATGTCTGATCTTCCATGTGTAACACAAGCCACAAGCTGCCCCCTAGCTGACTGAGCACAAGCTCGGGGTGACCGCACTCACCAGGATGCTCTTGTAGACGTTCCCGTTCCCTCACTCCACGCTGACCCGGATCACGCAGCAGTCGGCCACCTGCCGGTTGTAGACAGGCAGGGAGTTCATGGAGATGGAGCGCCGGTGTTGCAGGTGCGCGGGGGCGGAGGGCAGGTCGGGCTGGGAGTTGCAGGAGCTGGAGGAGCAGGAGGAGCCCGTGGGGGAGAAGACCTCCTCGGCCACATCCTGGCAAGAGCTGGACAGGGGCTGCAAGAGACAAGTAGGGCCGGGTCACATCCTGGAAGGGGATCCCCAGCTGATTTCTCCAAGATCGTACTTCTTGATCACAGCAGATTTCCCAGAAGCTGCAATATCTGTTCCTCCAAGACCAGCCTTAACTCCCCTCTGTAAAAGTAATAAAAGTTGTTTGGTACCTTGTATTTGCCCCTCAAAGGGGAGTGGGGCGAGGAGACATCCTCCATTTCCGATCCACTGGATCCCGACGAGGACACACTGATCTGGTCAGGGAGAGTTTTCCCACTGGATCCGTCAGTCACGGTGAGCAGCCTATTGTCAGCCGGAAAATGAGGTTACCCAGAATGCGAGACTCCGATCTGAGACAATAGCTTCTCTTTTGAATGTTTATATCACTGATTTTTAAATCCCTGAATAGTCCCTGAATCGGAAACTCTATGGCCAACAAGTCGTCTATTGGAAGAACACATTTCTCCACTTAAAAAGTCGTTTTTTTCCTAACACCAAAAAACATAATTTTCAGTGTTTTGCATCTCTCTCGGTCGGGATACTCACGAGGTCAGCTTCTTGGCCAGGAGACGGTGGCTCCAGGTGCCGGGGGACCCTGGGCAGGTGTCCACCGGGGGCTCCAGCTGACGTGACAAGTCATAGCTATGGACACAGAGTTCAAAGGTCAGCCACCAAAGGGGGGGAAACTCTAGAATTAAAGGGTACACCTTCATTAGGTCCCCAAAGTACCATAGAGACCCCAACAAGAATGGATAGGCATCTTTGAGTTATCAATTGTTTAGGACTTGGGGAAGACTCTTAAATGAATTTGGAGGGTGACTCCCTCTACTATGCCCAATTAGGTAAAACTTAGTTAAGAATGTACCCCTGTTCTGCCCTTCATCCCTCCGCATCACTCCTACCCTCATTTTCACCCATGTGGCCTGACCCTCACTTCCTGGTAGCGAAGCTGGAAGCTGCGGGTCTCTGACTGCAGCGCACTTGTGCCCAAATCCTTATTTCCTCTGCCAGGAGGGTAGAAACAAAACCTACATCTCTAACCGCTCAGGATCTATGCCAAGAAATGCCAGTGTTTGTCTTCGGATACGACATTGCTATCAGGTCACGAAGAAGTTCGGTTGGAGTCCACAAAGTACCATAGAGACTCCAACAAAGGTGGTCTTAGAGCTGTGTCAAGCGCCTGTGAACCATGGATATCAGTCCTCTCCCCACCGGCACCCAAAGCTCCTCACCTCTCCTGGTCGGTCAGCGGCCTGTGGCTCTGCAGCCAGGTGGAGACGCAGGGATGATGACTCAGGCTGTACTGGGAGCAGGCGGCCTGTAGCTGCCTGATCTCAGACAGAACCTCAAACTCCTGGGAAGAGAGGGAATGCCAGCAAGACATTTACATGGGCACCTGCCACAAGAGATACAGTACCTCAAAATGGCTTTCTATGACACTCAGAGACGTTTCTATGGATAAGCCATAGCTTCTCCACATGCTTGTTAACCATTTACTTTTTGTTCCTTTGTACATCCCCAAAAATAAAACAAGTTTCATTTTACTAAATCTAAAAGGTATCATGGTCTGCACAGGTTTAAATAATGAGCAGCGAGCTTTACGAGAAATAATTACAGTTCGTCACTGGCAACCTTACAGAAACCAACACAGAAGCTTAAGCTGACACCTAGAAAGAGTCACGAGAACCATTTTATCATTTTTCCCCATAAAACTAGTAGACAAATATTTGAGAGCTGTATTATGGAGCAGTGTTGAATGTTTACATTCGAGGCAGGGAATTGGGATTGTACTTCCAGGAAAGATACTACAGTAAAATTGCCTCAACATGTAATAATATGAGTCACTTGCAAAGTAATAAAAATGTCAGCCCAATAAATTAATGAGGATGGAAATATAACTCTTTCATGGGCATAATTACAGGTCAACAGCAATATTTTCCCTTTTTATAACCAAAGTAAATGTAAGTGCTCTCCCCTTACTCTGGGTTTACTGGGTAAAATAACTGCAGAGTGACATAAAGTAACACTCACCCTTCTCCTCTTCTCAAAGTTGATGAGACCCCCCTGGAGGAAAAAGAGAGAAACGCAGGTTGAGAGGCAAGAAGAGTGAGTCCTCAGCACCACCGAGCCAGGAAAACTGCTGTCATGTTCTGAGCCCAACGGAGACCACATTCTAATTAATTACAAATGTGAACAGGCCGTTTTGCCCATCTAACTCATTTGATTTTTTAGTGGCTGATTGATTCTAGGACCTCAACCGGGGGTTTCTTGACAGATGCTCCTGCCAAAGTACTTGTTGTTGTAGCTGTGCAGGGGCGCTGCAGAACAAGTGACAATATTTGGCATTTCTCTGTGGTTTTCTTACAATCTGTAAATTAAGGATATACTTATTCACTTCAATCCAGCAAAGAAAAACTGTGCAGCTTCCCGAATGCCATCTCACTGAAATCCTATCTTTGGCAGTTTGGTATGAGGCTGTGCTTGGTATGCTGTTTGTGGGCACATTTCCCCCCAGCACGCTTTTACTCAAGTCAGAAAACTGAGATGGCAGCACATCAGAATAACGCACGAGCCAGGGTCCGTCATCGGTCAGCAGTCGGTCTGTCCACTCACCTCCACTGTGTCAGGCAGGGCGGTGTCCAGCATGGTCAGCACAGTGAGGAAAGTACCCAGGTATGGGACATTGCCTGTGCTCTGTATAAGATAAGATCACTTTATTAGCCATATACAATTTCTTGCATTAGGGATTTGTCTTTTCACATACCCCAGCTTGCTCTCCATGAGACACACAGACAGGGAGGGAAGCTTGAGGTCAGAGCACTGGGTCAGCCATTTATACAGCGTCCCTGGAGCAGCTAGGGTTAAGGACCTTGCTCAGGGGCCCAATGGAGTAGGATTCCTCTGCAGGCCATGGGATTTGAACTGGCAACCTTCCAGCCAAAGGCACAGATCCTTAGCCACAGAGCCACCGCTCCGCCCCAGTATGAGAGGGGGGTGCCCCTCATACTCTGCCCGTCTGTATGACAGACAGGAAGAAAACGTTGGTCACACAAAGTCTTATTTGCCTGGCGCCTTTCTGCAAAGCAAAATAAAGACCCTAAGCTATGACTGGAACACTGACGCCATTTTAAATGTGGTGGGGGCGGAAACTAATTTGCTCCTTTGTGTAAAAAATCACTTATTTCACTGCCGCTCTGTGGATGGGGTTTTAACAGCACCTCCTTCTCTGCCGTGGCTTCTCCTGAAATAAATCTCATCACTGAACCCAGGGACTACTTCCCCAACCGTTGTTTTGCAGTCCCTTTTTATGGCTTTCCTCCTGTAATTCCCCTAGTACTGTTCCATCAGTTTCTCCAGATCCACACCAATGACCTTCTCCAAACACTAGCACTAAAGTCCATATTGGCTCTTCGAGCCAGGAGGACCTTCCTGTGGGACCTACCGTCTGTTGGGCAACGGGGCAGTGCTTGGGAGATTTGGGGCAGGAGCCGTCGTCGTTTGGAGTGCTGCCATCCTGTGTAGAGAGCAGAGAGAAATCAGTCACACACCAGAACTTCTACAAGGTGGGACACTTCCCAGATCACCCCACTAAGACCTACAGATAGGTACGGTCCTGCAAACAAAACCATACTTGACCAGATAAGTCTCACAATCTTTGTTGCCACATTCAAACCACTGGCCTCTGTGTCTCCCCATCATGAATCACAAGCCCTACAGTAGCCTGGTTGTCAGAGACTCGTTCATTCAACCCTTATAGAGGGCTGCGACATCAGCTTAACTTTGGTCGCAGGTGCCAGACTTTTTATCTGCTTGTTAGGGGAAATGAAACCAGTAATTACAAGACTTCATTCACAAATATTGAATGAAAATATATTTGTACAGAATGAGGCTCAAAAGCCATAAAGAACTAAAAAGCTGCCAAGAACTACCTTTTCAGCTTTCCATTGGCCTTTTAATGGTATTGACACTATTTGTTTTTTCTCTCCATCATACTTGTATGAACCCAGAATAAATAGCGGCTTGTAGGACCTGATCAGCAAACACCAGCACTGATTACAGGACAGGATTTACAGCACATTTCCCTTCTCTATAGAATCCCAGGCCCAGCGCTTGGGGGTTAATTATTAAACTTGCTCCTGTTCTTGCCTGCTGTACAGGTGTGTTAAAATGTTAAAAAAGCAGCCCAGAGATTTAACACTTATAAACATATAGTCCTTTTTTGCGATCACCTTTCCCAGGTAACTGTACTTTCAAATTGCTGTTTACTGGCCTGTAAAGAAGCCAGTTGTTTCCAGGCTATTAGATAAGACTCCCTGGGTTCAATTTGCACTTCAGCACTCAGGGTGTTTACAAAGAAAGGTCTTGGGAACACTGTGGAGCTCAGAGTTTCTGAGAGAACATTTAAGGGTCATTGTACTCCGTGAACACAGAACAGCAGGGCTGGAGAGAGAAACTCAGAGTGGAAACACCTTGAAGCAGGACTGACAATTACAAGGCAGAGGGACTCACCTCCTTGTTATAAGCATTAAATTACCAGTTTCTCCAGGTCTTGAACAAATTGTGATGTTAATTGTGATTCATTAAGCAGGAGATTTTTTTACATGAAAGGCGAACTGTATTGCCAATTTCCTAGACTGGTTCTAAAATCTGGTTAGTAAAAAATTGACGGTATCTCTAAATTTGACAAATTCCGAAAATAAGCACAAAATCATGAACTTTGCCAAACTCCTGTAAGTTGCCATGTTGTCACAAACCACTGGTCTCACTAAGCCGAGAGCAAGAGTTCACGCAGATTGTGACACGAAGTGGCCCTTCCTGCTCACTAGTCACTGTAATGACTAATGTAATGCGATGAATGAGCGAGTAAGTACAGGCTGTGTGGCAGTCATTTCACTGCAGAAATGTTCCAATGTGTTCTGCATGTAGAGTTTACAAGTTTCTATTTCTATTGGATTAATAGACATGGGTTCACAAGCCTACTTGTTTGCAATATCACAGGGCTGCTTCACCTTACTGGATATTTTGTTGCCTCGTTCTGAATCGCAGACAATGATGGAAATTCTGTCTATTTTGTGATGTAAACTGGAGATTTTACACGTTACTGTGTACATCTTTCTTTCATTGTGGTTTGAAATGCACTCATCGTGATTCTTTCTCACCGTGAAATATTTTAAAAAAGTTGCAGTTCCCCTTAAAGTAACTGTCTTCCAACAATTGTGTTCCTCATTTTTTTTAAGCATGCACTTTAATGAAGGAGAACTTACATTAGTTAACGTGGAGCATGTGCTGTTCATTACATTTTAAAGGAAAGTGATAGGTTTTTAACTGTCCTTTCAGGACAGCTTCAGCCTCAGTTTGCATGTATTTCAGCCTTTAAGAGGCATGATACAAACTGAACAAATGTTTTAAAAAAGAGATGACAAATGAAGGTAGTTATTGTATAATTTAGGTAAAGTGCTTCAAGAATGCTATATTGAAAAGCGCGATTGATTGATCGATTGATTGATTTGGACTGGGGATCTCAAGAACCTAAGTAGTCTGCATGAGCCACAACACTTCCTTATCACTGCTGACCAAAGCAGATTAAAGGAATTTCTTTACCTCCATAAGGATCTCTCGGCTGCCCAGGGCACAGTTCTCATCGGGAAAGGTCTGGCACAGCTGTTCAAAGGCTGTCATGCTCTCTCTGGAAGAGAAAAATCAACATAAAAACATGAGATCTTTAGCAATCGCTGTCCATGTAGCAGTGAGGTACATATTTACAGGTGGAAATGGGATCCAGAGTCCTCACATCACATAAAAGCGAGGAGACTGGACCATTTTCAATCCATAGGCAAACGGAATTTCACAGACAACAAAAATACAACCCCTTTGTCTGCCGACTGAAAATCCAATCAAGAACAATGGACAAAAGGCATCACATGGGAGGCAGAATTCCCAAACCCAGAGGTGGAAACTTTAAAATTACCACCGGCTTAACAAAGACCAGGAAACTGGTTTCTCAATGGAGCATTGTTGTAGGCTGAGAGAACAGGTTGGTGTGCTACCTAGAGACGGACGCCCAGGTTTTCTTCAGCCTATAGACGGCATTGGACTGCAGAGCAGAGAGGATTGCACGCAGGGAGGAGAAGTTCTTCAGCTGTTTGCACTCCTGCAACACAGAGAACAGGAAGGACCTCCATTAAATGCCTACTGGATGGGGAGAGGGGAGGAGCCAAAGCCCTTTGTATCGATGCGCTGAAATGCGGTTCGGAGGTGGAGATCTCTGGTGTTGGAGGATTGTGGGTTTAAGATGTAAAGACTTCACTGATTGCTACTCAGATCAATATGTCTAGGAGGATAAGCTGTGATGGCAGATTTCTGTGGATCACAGCCTCAGTGTCTTTAACCACTGTGTACAGGGTCATGCTAGAACGGGGCCAAAGTTTGTTTGTTTTTTTTGGCGGTTCTCTGGGAGCAGACCGACCTGCGCCACCTCGATCCACTTCTCGACGACCCTGGCACGGTCGCAGGGCCGCTGGGAGGAAGGCTGGCACAGCAGGGTGCTGATGACGCAGTTGGTGACCATATTGAACTGGGCGATGGTGGCGCGGATGGTGGGCGCCAGGTGCTTGTTCTCCTTCTTGTCGCGCTGGGACCAGATGCAGCCCATGCACTGGAATGGCAGCACCTTCATGAACAGCCCCTGCAGGCATCAGACAGGGAGAGACAGAGGCATTACAGTCCAATTCAAAACGGACATCAAGATCATGCCAAGGGCCAATGCTGTAGCACCTGCAGACAGTAAGGGCA